CACAACGACACGGCGGCTCAGCGGCTCAGCGGAGGGGCGCTCCAGTGTGGGAAGCAGGGTAGGCGGCCGAGGAGGGCTGGAGGCGTGCCGGGCCGGTGGGACGCGAGGAGCCAGCTAGGGCGCGAGGGGCCGACGGGGGCGCTAGGGGCCAGCTGGGGCGCAAGGGGCCAGCGAGGGCGCGAGGGGCCGGCTCGGGCGCAAGGGGCCGGTGAAGGCGCGAGGGGCTGGCTAGGGTGCTAGGGGCCAGCTAGGGCGCAAGGGGCCAGCAAGGGCGCGAGGGGCCAGCGAGGGCGCGAGGGGCTGGCGAGGGAGCTAGGGGCCAGCTAGTGCGCAAGGGGGGGGCAGCAAGGGCGCGCGGGGCCGGCTCGGGCGCGAGGGGTCGGCGAAGGCGCAATAGGCCAGCGTGGACACGAGGGGCCAGTGTGGGCGCGAGGGGCCAGCGTGGGCGCGAGGGGCCAGCGTGGGCGCGAGGGGCCAGCTAGGGCGTGAGGGGCCGGTAGGGGCACGAGAGGCCGGTAGGGGCACGAGGGGCGAGTAGAGGCGCGAGGGGCCGACTACAGCACGAGGGGCCGATTGGGGCGCGAGGGGCCGGTTGGAGCTCGAGGGGCCAACGAGGGCGCTAGGGGCCCGCTAAGGCGCGAGGGACCCGCTAAGGTGCGAGGAGCCATCTAGGGCGCGGGTGGGGGGGGGGGGGGGGTCGTTCGAGGGCGCTAGGGGCATCCAGGGCGCGAGGGGCTAGCGAGGCACGGTAGGCTAGTGAGGCGCGGTAGGCTAGGGCGCGGGGCGGAAGCGGGTGGGTGGACCTACCTACTCATGATACCATGTCAGCTAGAAAGAATGATTATACTGTCAAACATACAAACATATATTGTATGTTACTGTAGACTATATAGGGTTGAGCCTTAGGGAGTACAACCCATTAGGCTATATACCCCTGCATGTTCTGTTCTAGTCAACTTTTCTCACTTTAACATGGTATCATGAGTAGGTAGGTCTCCCCCCCCCCCCTAGCGCTTCCGCCCTAGGTCCTAGCTGCCCCGCTCGTGCCGGCCCGTCTCCTAGCCGCCCCGTCGCCTAGCTGGCCCTGCCGCGCCATAGGCCCCCGCTGACCCTGCCTCCTAGCTAGCACCGCCGCGCCATCGGCCTCGTCGGCCCCGTCGGCCCTGCCTCCTAGTCGACCCCACCGCCTAGTTGGCCCCACTGGCCCCGCCTCCTAGCCGACCCCACCAGCTAGTCGGCCCCGCCGGCCCTGCCCCCCCCTCCTCGCTAGCCCCGCGAGCCATCGGCCCCGTCGGCCCCGCCTCCTAGCCGACCCCACCGCCTAGTCGGCCCCGCTGGCCCCACCTCCTAGCCGGCCCCACCGCCTAGTCGGCCACGTTGGCCCCGCCTCCTCGCTAGCCCCGCGCGCCATCGGCCCCGTCGGCCCCGTCGCCCCCGCCTCCTAGCTGGCCTCGCCGCCACATTGGCCCAGTCGGCCCTGTCGGCCCCGCCTCCTAGCTAGCCCCGCCGTCCCATCTGCCCGGTCGGGCCCGCCTCCTAGCTGGCCCCGCCGCCTCATCGGCCCCGACGGCCCCGCCTCCTAGCTACCCCTGCCGCCCGATCGGCCCCGTCGGCCTTGCCTCCTCTCTGGCCCGTCACCCACAGCCGGCCCCGTCCCCCTGCTGGCCCCGTTTCCTTGCCGCCCGCGGCTCCATCTCCTAGCCCCCTCACCGCCGTCCTCGGCCCTCTGCACCGCGCTGCACCGCTCGGTACCGCTTTGCACCGCACTGCATTGCTCTGCACCGCACTGCACTGTACTGCACCGCATTCCACCGCACTGCAACGTGCTGCACCGCACTGCACTGCACACAATCGTACTGCACCTCCCCCTCCCGCACAGTACCGTATTGCACCGCACATTACCGCTTTCCGCCGCCCTCTTCTGCCCCGTACTACCCTTCTCCTACTGCTGCAACCATGATGGCAGACTCGGTCCTGCGTTTTGATGCGGAGGGGCAGCCGATTGAGTTCGACTCGTGGCTCGTCGACCTCTAGCGACACCTGACTGGTCAGCGGCAGGACGGCCACTCCCTGGCCGTCCACATCAACGGTACGCTCCCCTGCCCGGATCCCCCTGCTGCCCTCCCCGCGGACCCCACCTCTGCTGACCGTGAGTCCGCTGCAGCTGCAGCCCTTGCTCGTGCTGTCTGGTTGTCGCGTGACGCTGTCGCTCAGCTTACGATTAGTCATGCCCTTCCCCGTCCGAGCGCCCTTGCTTTAGGTCTGTCAGGACTGCGCAGGAGTTCCTAGAGACTGTTGTTGCGTGCTATTCCATCCCGCCCTCTACCTCTGTAGGTCGCCTGATCCTGCCCATGTTGTTTCTTGACCTTGCGTCTTTCCCCATTGTCGCTGACCTAGCCGCCCAGCTGCGCACGATAGACACGACCTGCCGCGCTGCCTGCACTGAGGCCCAGCTTCGTTTGTTTCAGCCCCCCATCTGCTCTACCCTCTACCTGCTTGCCACCCGCCTCCCTGACCACCTTGCCACTGCCCGTAATCACTTCCTTAGTCTCCACCCCGTTGACCTCACCCTCACTGACACCTTGTCTGCCATAGAGACCCGCCAGCGCTCTATCGCCCAGTCTAGCGGTACCGTGCCAGTCTCTATCTTTCAAGGCTGTGCCCCTGCTCAGTGCTCTTACTCTGACGGTTCTGCTGCGGTTGCTGAGATGGCTCCGGCTGTGGAGACCGCCGCCGCCATGCAGTTTCGTCCGGGTAAGGGTCGCCGCCCCAAGGCTGGACTCGGCGGAGGTAGCGGAGGAGGGGGTGGTGCCGGTGGTGGAGGTAGCTCCACTACTCTCCCCTGTCTGGCAGTTCCCTGAGGCTCCCTTACAAGCCTGCACATCCCCTCGTTTTCTAGGAACCTAGTTGGTATCGGCTGCCTCCAGGACCTTGGCGTCACCACTACGTTCCCTGGGCACGAGCGGTACGCTGTCTGTACTGAGGCCGCCACAGGTGCCCCCCTCACCACGTTCCCCTGGGACCCGGTGTCTGGCCTGTTCACGCTGGACACCGCTTCCCCCCTGGTTGGGACGCCTCCTCATGTACCTGCTTCTTCCCAGGTTGCTGCGGCGTGCTCGTGTCGGTCGCTTACTCACCCGTCGCTTCTGTGGCACCACCGTCTAGGTCACCCCGCCCTCACCCGTCTCCATCACATCTCCCAGCACCGTCTTGTCCTAGGCCTCCCTGAGTCGTTCCCTGCGCTCCCCTCCTCACCCGCGCCTCCGTGCACGCCCTGTGTCGAGGGCCGGCTCCGCCGTGCCCCTCACTCCTCCTCGTTCTCCCCTACCTCCGCACCGTTGCAGACCCTACACATGGACGTCTAGGGCCCCGCCCCCGTCCATGGGCCGGGTCGCAAGCGCTAACTCCTAGTGCTTGTCGACGACTACACCCGCTACACCACCGTCTTTCCCCTGGAGCGGAAGGCCGACGTGCCTGATGTTCTTCCCCCGTGGCTTGTCTCTGAGCGTGTTCACCGAGGTCTCCCTGTCTTGCGTCTTCACTCCGACCATGGTGGCGAGTTCGCCTCTGGCTGCCTTGGTCACTTCTGTCATGCGGAGGGCATCACCTAGACGTTCACCCTGCCGGACTCCCCGCAGAAGAATGGGGTCACTGAGCGACGCATTGGTTTGGTCATGGAGGTTGCTCGTACCTCCATGATCCATAACGGTGCACCCCATTTTCTGTGGCTGTTCGTCATTCGCTACGCCGCTCACCAGCTTAACCTCTGGCCGCACACCCTAAGCGGTCGCAAGTTTTGCCGACCCTCCTCTAGACCGGGTCTCTAGCTGACACGTCTGCATTCCAAGTCTGGGGCTGCCTTGCTCACGTTCGTGCCTCTGGCACGGACAAGCTCACTGCCCGCACTGTCCCCTGTGTCTTCCTAGGTATCCCCCTCAACTCGTCGGACTAGCAGTTCTACCACCCTCCTTCTCACCGATTCTTTCACTCCTGTGACGTCACTTTTGACGAGTCCGTCTCCTTCTACCACCGCTTTCCCCACCGTGGTCCCCCGGTCACTCCCCCCCAGTTCCTGGTGCTCCCCCTTCCCCCGGTCGACCTTGTCCACCCCCCTTTTCCCCTTGCCCCGTCAGGTGTGTCTCACGTCACCCCCCTCCCGTCGGTTGTCCCTGCTGAGGAGTCTGCTGACTCTCGCGGCTCGGCGGAGTCTCTTCCCCCACCTGTCCCTGCCCCGGTCTCGCCTCCCCTGTCGTCGCCGCTGCTGTCTCCACTGCAGCCGCCACCGCCATAGCTGCCGTCGTCACCGCCGCTGGGGTTCGTGCGTTCTGGGGGTGCTGGGGAGCAGGCTGGAGCTGGTGCTAGAGCCGGCTCTGGGGGTGCTGGCGTGGGGCTTCTCGGGGGGAGCCGTGTTGTCGCTGGAGGTTCTGGGGTTGGATTCGGGCAGCAGTTGCAGCTGTCGCCGCCGGTGTCTGCTCTTCACCTCCTCGGTCTCCCTTCCCCTGACCGCCTATCGCTGTCTCCCCCGCTGCCGCCGCCTCCTCCTCTGCCGGTCTACGGCCCCGTGTTTCCTCCCCCGGAATCCTCTCCGGCTCGTTTCCCTCCCCGTTCTCCTCCTCCTCTCTCTCCTCCCCTCTCTCCTAACCCGACTCCTCCGTCTCACGACTGGTCACGTCGCCCGTCTCGTGCTTGTCCTACCTCCACTGTTCTGTGTTCTCACCCTATGTTGCTTCGCTCTCACGCGTCTTGTGCTCCTCCTCTCCTCCCGTCTCTGTTATAATCACAATAGGCTCAGATGTGCCTAAAATGAGAGAAAATGTGCACAGTCAGAATTCCGTCAGCCAGATTCAAATATTGATGCCGATCTGATGTGTGCCTCAAACGGTGATATGTAAATTGGATCTAGAGCGCGTTGTTGTCGCCTATCAGCAGCAAGTTGAATCATAAAATTCCATGAAGATTTGACGACGCTATGACGGTTTGACTGGCAGAAGGTACAGCAGCCACTATGGTCTTAGGAGTACAAAAACTTAGGAAGAAGAATTCGAGAGGGAGATGGTTCCCAGCCTCTACATACCCCAAGAGCCGAGGTCCAGGTTGGTGGTACACCACCACAGAGTCCCCAACCACGAAGAGTCACAAAACAAACCCTCCAAGGGGCTACACTAAGTGAAATGTAACACTACACGAAGTAGCGTTACTATTTTCACTATTTAATATTTATCCGCGTCCCTTGGGCTTGAAATCTTGAGCTCTTGGTCTTGGTTCTTCAAGATAAATTCTTCTTGAGTTGATGGGGGCTTGCTGCGCACACCTGCGACGCGATGGACACTTCACACTCGACAAAATAGAAAAACACATGCGACACGCAAACGACGACTTGACATTCGAGTTGTAAAAACTCACTAATCTCTTGACCGACACACACCACATTGTGATACACCATTCAAACACACACACAAGCACTAGATAGCAATGACATAGACTCACAAGTCATTCCATGCCATGCATGCACACACACAAACAAGGACGACAAGCCGAGTGCAAGCCATAGGGTTGCACCAACAAACTCTCCGTCGGATTGTTGGCCTTAGAATCTGCTCCCCTTAGTTCAGAGCCATCCCAGCAAGCTTGCAACACTTCCAATGCTGCTGCTCAACCAGCCTCTTGGTCATCATATCAGCTGGCTGCGCCGTCGTCTTCACGTAGTGCAACTCCACTTCACCCGCGGTTACCATGCTCCTCACCCAATGCCACTTCACCTTCATGTGCTTGGTAAGGCCATGAAGAACGGGGTTCTTAGCCAATGCAATAGCACCTTGGCTATCACAGTAGAGGGGGGTAGGTCCTTGCTGCTCCTCCCCCAATTCAGCTAGCAAACGCCGCTGCCACACAACCTCTCTTATGGCACGGAAGAGTGCCATGTACTCGGACTCCACCGAGCTCAATGCTTGGTCCACTTGTTTCTTGCTCTCCCAAGCTGTTGGTCCTCCACCAACACAGCAGATAAAGCCTCCCACACTTGTCATGTCCTCTGGTTCTGATGCCCAAGATGCATCAGAGAAGGCGGTGAGAAAGAACCTCCCGGGTTCGACTCCATCCGCACCCTTTTGACGCCTTTGTGCCGCCGCGGAGTATTGCAGTCCAACAGTTGCTGTTTGGCCAAAGTACTTGGCCACCCTCTCTCCAGCTGCTACCTGCTCTTCATTAGGGCATTGGACAACCCTAGCTAGCTGCCCGGTAGCAAAGGCTGCATCCGGCCTTGTGTGAACGGCCGCATACATGAGGCTGCCCACCAAGGAGTGAAAACAGCGCCTCTCCTCTTCACCAACACTTTCCTCCGCTGGTCCTTTCACACACTTGAACCCTGAGGGTAGAGGAGTAGCCACATGACCTTCACTCTTCCCAAAGTTTGCAGCCAAGGCCTCCAAGTACTTCTTTTGATGCACTCGCATCCACCGCTTCTCCACATCTCGCTCAATGTGAAGCCCAAGGTAGTAGTTGACGTCACCAAGGGTCTTGCACTTGAACTTGTCTTGAAGCTTCAGCATCACATCCTTCACAAGGTCAGAGGAGGGTGAGAATATGAGGATGTCATCCACATAAACCACCATGAAGCTCCTCTGCTCCCCCTCGCCAAGCATGAACAATGATTGATCGGCTGTTGAGGGAGTGAAACCGATCGCCTCCAAGACTTCCCGCAGCTTGATGTACCATTGCCTAGGGGCTTGCTTGAGGCCATAGAGGGCTTTCTTCAGCTTCCACACTCTGCCACTCCCATCATTGTACCCCTCTGGCTGCTCCATGTAGGTCTCTTCCTCCAAAACTCCGTTGAGGAAGGCCGTTACGATATCCATTTGCTTCACCACCCATCCTTTGATGGCCGCCGCGGCGAAGAGGGTTCGAAGGGTTGTACCCTTCACCACAGGAGCATATACTTCATTGTAGTCCTTCTTCTCCTGCTGCTGGTACCCCTTGGCTACAAGTCTGCTCTTGTAGCGCTCAATGTTGCCGTCGGCGTCGGTCTTGCGCTTGAAGAGCCACTTGGAAGAGATCGCCTTACGCCCCGGAGGTAGGTTCACCAAGTCAAACGTGTCGTTCTCGATGATGCTCCCCATCTCTTCATCTGAGGCCTTCTTCCACTCCTTCCCATTGGGGCCCTCCCAAGCCTCCTTGGGATTTGTAGGCTCCCCCGGTATCTCCACCGGAGAGAAGAAGGCAAAAGCGCACTCCTCGCTTTCATCTTCCGCTTCATCGCCTAGCATGAGAGCCGAACCGGTCAAGGTTGAGTTGGCTGCTCCTCCAAGCCGTTCATAGCTCAACCTATTGGGGGGCTGAGTCTTCCTTCTCCCCCTTCCTTCCTCCTCTACTGCAGGGACTTGGATGCTCTCATGGCGTTGCTGCAAATCTGCTCGGTTCCCGCGAGCACTTGTAGCACGAGGCGGAAGTGACGGTGTACGCTCATCACCTTGCTGCACCTCCTCCTCCTCTTCTCCCCCATTCATTTGAGGAGATTGCCTTGTGATAGTGCTGCTGCTACTCAGCTCCAAGGGCAGCTCCACATGCTCCAAGCCGGTACTCTTCACCTCTCCAAGCCGCACACCAATCTTCGCTTGGTTCTCCGCCTTCCACTCCTTGTACGGTAAGTTCTCCATGAACTTGCAATCTCTGCTCACCAGGAACTTCTTGGTAAATGGGTCCCAAAGAAGCCATCCCTTGCTGTTTTGAGCCATGCCCAGGTGCACGGCCCATGTTGCCTTGGCATCAAGCTTGTTGTGCCGAAGTTTCTTAGGCACAAGTGCCATGCACATGCACCCGAACACCCGAAGCATATCCACCTTCGGCTTCCTTCCAATCCACTCCACATAGGGCACGCATTTGTCTTCTCCCACATGAGTCAAGGCTCTGTTCTTGGCCACACAAGCATGCCGCACCGCATCCGGCCAAAAGTAATTGGGTAGACCGGCTTCAATGAGAAGTCCCCGAGCCGTCTCCGTGAGTGTCCGATTCGCACGCTCGGCAATGCCGTTCATTGCAGGAGATTAGGGCATGGTAAGAGAGTGCCTTATGCCCTGCTTCTTCAGCCAAGTTGAGAAGTCCTTGCTCAGGAACTCTCCCCCACGGTCAGTGCGAATCGCCTTCACAAGCCGGTCTTGTTGCCGCTCCACCATCGGCAACCAATCGGTCTTCACCGTTTCAGCCACGTCACTCTTCTTGGGCAGCACATACACCCAAGTCATGCGAGTGTAGACGTCCACAATGGTGAGGAAGTACTCAGCTCCAGCAGCTCCAAGCTTCAAGGGGCCCACCACATCCATCACCACCTCATCAAGTGGTGCCTTCGCCGTTGTCTCCGAGCTATGGAACGGGTAGCGGGTGAACTTGGCTTGCATGCATGTTGGACAGCCAAGCACCTCATTGGGCTCCCCCTTGACACGTATCCCACTGACCATGTCTTGCTTGACTATCTGCTGCAAAATGGGCAATGCCACATGCCCCATTCGCCGATGCAAGGTCAGCCAATCACACTCTCCCGTAGCGGAAGTCGGGTGGGAGAAAGCGGCACTCGCAATTGTGCCCCACAAGCTCTCTCCTTTCTCCTTCGCCGCTGCTGCTTTGCTGATCTTATGATTCTCCTCATCATTTCCACCACCTTTGGCTGCTGCACCACTCTCCTTGGATTCACATGCCTTGCTGGTCTCTCCAAGATTGCACTCCTTCGAGTCACTCTTGGGGTCACTTTGCTTTCCGTGATCACCGCCACCAACCGCTTCACTCTTGGTGCTGATGCTTGCTGCCACTTGCCTCTCCTTAGGCATGGGGACCACCGGGATTTGCCACATTTCATTGTAGATGTCCCTGTCCTCATGAAGGTCCCAAAGCTTCCGCTCACCAAGCCGCGCGGTATAAGTTTTGGATCCCTTGGAAGATGTGTGCATGCCGGCCTTTTGCAAACGCCGCACATAAATCAGGTTGGCTGCAAGGTTGGGCACCCAAAGCACGTTCTTGAGGCCCACCATCTTCCCATCAGCACCCTTGAACATGGCCTTGCCCATGCCTTTCACCTCTGCTCGCTGCCCCAAAGCCGATGTGACATGCTTGACCGGCGACGGTTCGAGTTCGGTGAGCAAGTCCGCACGAGGTGTCATGCTATAGGTGGCGCCGCTATCGATCACCCAAAAGTCCAGAGAGTGAAGGGTGACCTTTCCCACAGTAGCTGGCTCCTCAAAGCCTTCCACACCTCCTGCTGCAGCTGCCGCTTGCGTGGAGACAAAGAAGAATTGGCCCGGGTATCGATCTTCACTCGGGCCCGTCTCGTAGTCTCCACCTTTCATGCATGCCGCTTCGCTTCCACGACCACCACGGCCTCCACGACCTCTGCCTCTTCCTCCCCTTGCTCCTCTGCCCTCTTGGCCTTGAGAAGGGGTCCATCCATCCGGCAATCTGTAGCAATCTCTCCACATGTGGCCGGTCTTGTGGCAAAAGTGGCATTCGCCATAAAATCGACCGCGCCCACGCCCGTAGCCATTGTTGTTGTTGTTGCTGCCATATCCTCCATTACCACGGCCTCCATTGAAGTTGCTGCTGCCAAATCTTCCTCCTCGCCCTCTGCCCCTTCCACGGCCGTGCCCACGGCCCATGCTTGCAACTCCGGCACCATCGGTACCCGCCAATTCACGACGGCGGAAATCTTCTTGTAAGATTTCCCGCTTCACATCTTCGAGCGAGAGGCGGGGCAGATCTCGATTTAGGTTGATGATGAGCGAGGACCATGAGTCCGGAAGCAAGGCCAGCAGCTTGGTCTTCTTTTGAAGGTCACTGTAGTTTAGGTCAGCTCCTTCGAGCCGTGTCAACAAGTCGAAGAATTTCTGCACTCCGTCCTCCACCGGTTCGCCTTCGTCAATTCGAAGGGCCGCCATTTACCGCTCCAAAAACACAGCCACCGCCGCTGTTGCAGGAGCGTGTACACCCTTGAGAGCAGCCCATGCCTTTGGTCCCTTTGCTGGTTCACGCTGAAAAGGCTTGATGTGACGGATTTGGCTGCTCCCCAACGCTTGCCCAAGTAGAAGATAGCCTTGTGCGCTCTTCCGCACCCACGGGCTCTTCTCCGGGTCGTTCTCGGGGCGCTTCTCCGTTCCTTCCATCACCTCCAGCAGATCATTGTGGTCAAAGATGTTCTCCATCTTGAAGGACCACTCAGCAAAGTTGTCACCGTTGAACTTGTCAAAGCCAAACACTCTAGGCTCATCCCTAGAGGGGCCAAGGCTAGGTTGCACGGGAGCCATGGGTGGATCTTGGTGTTGACCTTGTGCTTGGGCGTCTTCTCTGCCTCCAGCAGCTCTGCCACCCCCTTCCTCAGGTCTAGGCATGGTCGAGACAGCTCCAAGGGGCTCTGATACCACTTGTTATAATCACAATAGGCTCAGATGTGCCTAAAATGAGAGAAAATGTGCACAGTCAGAATTCCGTTAGCCAGATTCAAATATTGATGCTGATCTGATGTGTGCCTCAAACGGTGATCTGTAAATTGGATCTGGAGCGCGTTGTTGTCGCCTATCAGCAGCAAGTTGAATCATAAAATTCCATGAAGATTTGACGACGCTATGGCGGTTTGACTGGCAGGAGGTACAGCAGCCACTATGGTCTTAGGAGTACAAAAACTTAGGAAGAAGAATTCGAGAGGGAGATGGTTCCCAGCCTCTACATACCCCAAGAGCCGAGGTCCAGGTTGGTGGTACACCACCACAGAGTCCCCAACCACGAAGAGTCACAAAACAAACCCTCCAAGGGGCTACACTAAGTGAAATGTAACACTACACGAAGTAGCGTTACTATTTTCACTATTTAATATTTATCCGCGTCCCTTGGGCTTGAAATCTTGAGCTCTTGGTCTTGGTTCTTCAAGATAAATTCTTCTTGAGTTGATGGGGGCTTGCTGCGCACACCTGCGACGCGATGGACACTTCACACTCGACAAAATAGAAAAACACATGCGACACGCAAACGACGACTTGACATTCGAGTTGTAAAAACTCACTAATCTCTTGACCGACACACACCACATTGTGAGACACCATTCAAACACACACACAAGCACTAGATAGCAATGACATAGACTCACAAGTCATTCCATGCCATGCATGCACACACACAAACACGGACGACAAGCCGAGTGCAAGCCATAGGGTTGCACCAACAGTCTCCTCCTCCGTCGTCGCTTGCTATCGCCTCGCCTCCGTTCTCGGACTTCCTCCGTGCTGCGCATCCCCTTGTTCCTCGTGGCCTTGCCTCTCTCGTTACCCCCATCCATTCCTGTCTCGAGTCTGTCGACTCTTGTCGCTGCTGTCACTGACTTCGCCGTTACGCGCCGCTTGGACTACGCCACCGCTCTGGTCTCTGACCCTGCCTGCCCTCCGGCCGTTGGGGGTGTGGCTGCTCTTGGCACTGACATCCTAGACGACAGGCAGTTCGAGCTGGCTTTCCTGTCTGAGGCCGCTCCCCATCTTTGTTCCATGCTACTCGTCCCTGAGGGTGACCCAGACGCCCTTGACATCCCGACCCCTCGCACCTACGCTGAGGCCACCTCGAGACCCTGGGCCTCTCAGTGGATAGCTGCCATGGAGGAGGAGATGACATCTTGGAGATCCACCGGTACCTTCGTCGACGCAGTTCCCCTACCTTGGGTGAACGTAGTCGACGGCCGAAGGCTCTTCAAGGTGAAGCACACTCCTGGAGAGCCGCCTGTTTTCAAGGTGTGCTACGTTGCTCGAGGCTTCAGTCAGCGTGAGGGGGTGGACTTCTTTCAGACCTTCGCCCCGACCTTGAAGATGACCACTCTTTGGGCAATGCTACACGTAGCAGTACAGCGTGACTATGAGCTCCACTCCCTCAAATTCTCCACAACTTTCCTCCAGGGCAGTCTACACGAGCAGGTCTACCTGCGCCGCCCGAAGGGTTTCTCCGGTACCTTCCCCCTTGGCACCGAGTGGCTCCTCCGGCGCTACGTCTACGGCTTGCGATAGGCGCCCCGTGACTGGCACGACACGCTGCGTGCTACACTTGCTGACTTGCAGTTCTTCCCTTCGTCTGCAGATCACTCGCTCTTTGTCCGTTCCGGCCAAACTCCATTCTACATCCTTGTCTACGTAGATGATCTGGTCTTTGCTACTGTAGACAGAAACGCACTGGCTGCCGTGAAGGGCCGAGCTGCTAAGGAGACACACCTGCACTAACCTAGGAGAGTTGCGCCGCTACCTTGGCTTGCAGATCTCCAGGAACAGAGCAGCACGCACCATCACTCTCTCACAGTCACACTTGGTGCACGAGGTCCTTCAGAGGTTCGGCCTTCAGATCTCTTCCGCACAGCCCACCCCTCTGTTAGTAGACCACAGACTCTCTGCCTGAGTCCCTGAGGAGGTTGTAGAGCCTAGTGGTCCCTACACAGAGCTGGTGGGTTGCCTCATGTACCTGATGAATTGCACTCGTCCAGATCCCGCATACCCTCTCAGCATGCTGGCTCACTTTGTGGCCCCAGGCAGACACCGACCACAGCACTGGTCGGCAGCTAAGAGGGTTTTGCGTTATCTAGCAAGTACATCAGGCATGGGGCTAGTGCTAGGAAGACGGAGACCAGTGGTCCTTACTGGGCACACAGACGCTTCTTGGGCAAACGACGACGAGACTCTTAGGTCCTCACAGGGCTACTCCTTTAGCCTTGGTGGAGATGCCATCTCGTGGAGGTCCACCCGTTCTTCGTCTGTTGCCCAGTCTAGCTGTGAGGTTGAGATCTACGCCGGTGCCATGGCGGCACAGGAGCTCTGCTGGCTGACCTTCTTGCTCACCGACTTAGGTGAGTGGCCTAGCTCTGCCCCGGTTCTGTACACCGACAACAGGGCCATGATCCTCCTGTGTCAGGAGCCTCGACTTGAGGGCAGAGCAAAGCACATCCAGCTGCGGTACTTCCTACTAAGCAAGCTACACCAGCGTCGCCAGGCTCATGTAGTACACTTGGCCTGAGGTGCCGACATAGCTGATATCTTTACGAAGGCGCTTGCGCCTAAAGATCATCAGCGGCACTGTGTACAGCTAGGTCTCGTTCCTATAGCTAGGACCTTGATTGTGTACAGACCTATATTTATATTACCCTGACTGGACTTGTGGCCTCTTCCCAGTGGCTGGACTAGTAGTGCCACCTTGGTCTTGCACTTGCCTTGTCTGTACTTGTATGATTGGTCTTTAGACCCTTGCCTCAGAGGCTGGACTAGTAGTGCCACCCTGAGCTGTTTCTCTCTCTCACCAGGAACGAGACCTAGCTGTACACAGTGCCGCTGATGATCTTTAGGCGCAAGCGCCTTCGTAAAGATATCAGCTGTGTTGGCACCGGAGGCCAAGTGTACTACGCGCGCCTGGCGGCGCTGCTGGAGCTCGCGCAGGAGGAAGTGCCGCAGCTGGATGTGCTTCACTCTGCCCTCGAGTCGAGGCTCCTGACACTGGAGGATCATGGCCCTGTTGTCAGCGTACAGGACCAGGGCAGAGCTAGGCTGCTCACCTAAGTTAGTGAGCAAGAAGGTCAGCCAGCAGAGCTCCAGTGCCGCTATGGCACCTGCGTAGATCTCAGCCTCATAGCTGGACTGGGCAACAGACGAGGAGCGGGTAGCTCTCAACGAGACGGCACCTGAACCATGGCTGAAGCAATAGCCCTGCGAGGACCTGAGGGTCTCGGCGTCGTCTGCCCAAGAAGCGTCTGTGTACCCAATGAGGACCACTGGCATGCGTCCTCCTAGCACTAACCCCATGCCCGATGTACTTGCGAGATAACGCAAAACCCTCTTAGCGGCAGACCGGTGCTGAGGTCGGTGTCTGCCTGTAGCCACAAAGCGAGCCAGGATGCTGAGAGAGTATGCGAGATCTGGGCGAGTGCAAGTCATCAGGTACATGAGGCAACCCACCAGCTCTGCGTAAGGACCACTGGGCTCTGCAGAATCCTCAGGAACTGGAGCAGAGCGCCTATTGTGAGAGTACGACCCCGTTACACTAATTTCCCCTTTCCATATTTCCTTTTTATTTCATTCCTCTTTCACTCCTGATTCATTTGGTCTTTATCTCATCTCATTTGGTTTCCTATTCCTCATTTTCCATTATCCTTTGGTTTATCCTATTATTATGATTATATCACCGACCAGGCTCGGGATGTACTGGCGCGCTATATCTAGCGTAATCCTGCAGTAATCCCTTATAGCCAATAGCCTCGCGTGGCTATACGCATGGTGATTCTATTTCTAGAAGGGTCTATTTCCTTTGGATAGGATAAACCTGGTTACCTGATGTATTCTGGAAGTATAAAAGCACCTTGTACTGATTGATAGTGCAACATTGAGCAAACCTTTCCTCGGGACATTCGATCCTGTGACACCTATGGTCTAGGGGCAAAGGAGTGGGCTCTGCGGAGGAGAACTGAAGGCCGAACCTCTGAAGGACCTGGTGCACCAAGTGTGACTGAGTCAAAGTGATAGTGTGCGCTGCTCTGTCCCTGGAGATCTGCAAGCCAAGGTAGTGGCGCAGTTCTCCAAGGTCAGTGCAGGTGTGTCTCTTCAGCAGCTCAGCCTTCACGGAGGCCAGTGCGTCCCTGTCTGCCATGGCAAAGACCAGGTCGTCTACGTAAACAAGGATGTAAAACGGGGTCTGGCCAGCACGAACGAAGAGCGAGGGGTCTGCAAAGGATGGAAAGAACTGCAGGTCAGCAAGCGTAGCACGCAGCATGTCGTGCCACTCACGGGGAGCCTGCCGCAGGCCGTAGATGGGGTGCCGTAGGAGCCACTGGGTCCCAGGAGGGAAGGTGCCAGTGAATCCCTGAGGGCGGCGCAGGTAGACCTGCTCGTGTAGACTGCCCTGAAGAAAGGCAGTGGAGAAGTCGAGGGAGTGAAGCTCGTAGTCACGCTGAGCTACTACGAGTAGTAGCACCCGAAGAGTAGTCATCTTCGGAGTCGGAGCGAAGTTCTGGAAGAAGTCCACCCCCTCACGCTGACTGAAACCTGTAGCCACGTAGCGCGCCTTGAACACAGGCGGCTCTCCAGGAGGGCGCTTCACCTTGAAGAGCCAGCGACCATCTACTACGTTCACCCCAGGTGGGGGAACTGCGTCGACGTAGGTGCCGGTGGATCTCCAAGATGCCATCTCCTGCTCCATGGCAGCTATCCACTGAGAGGCCCAGGGTCCCGAGACCGCCTCAGCGTAAGTGCGAGGGGTTGGGATGTCGAAAGCGTCGGGGTCACCCTTAGGGACTAGAAGCATAGAGCAGAGATGGGGAGCAGCCTCGGACAGGAAAGCAAGCTCGTACTGGCGGTCCTCCAGGACGTCACTGCCGAGGGCAGGAGCACCCCCGACAGACGGAGGACAGGCAGGGTCAGATACCAGAGCGGTGGCGTAGTCAAGGTGGCAGGCAGATGCAAAGTCAGTGACCGCAGCGACAAGGGCGTCAAGACTCGAAACTGGAACAGGTGGGTCAGTAACGAGGGAGGCAAGGACCCGAGGAACAAGAGGACGAGCGGCACACAGGTAGTCACACAGCGGGGCGGGGCAACAACAAGGGAGGACGGAGGGGGCGACGGGAGAAGGGGAGGACAAGACGTATGGGAATGAAGCAACATAGGGTGAGAGCGCGAGACAGGGGAGACAGGTCGAGCACGGGAGGGGCGACGAGACCAGACATGAGATGGAGGAGTCGGGTCAGTAGACGAAGGAGGGGACACAGGAGGGGAACGAGGGGGGAAACGGGCCGGAGACGAGTCCGGAGGAGGGAACACAAGGCCGTAGACAGGAGGAGGAGGAGGCACGGGCACGGGGTCAGGGGACGGAAGGCCGAGCAGACGAAGAGCGGACACCGGCGGGGACTGCTGCAGCGGCGGTGTAACACCGACACCGGGACCGCAAGGGGCCTGGCAGCTACCTCCAGAACACTCCATGCCAGCACCCCCAGAAGGAACACCCCCAGAGCCCAGAACCCCTCGAGCACCGGTACCATCCCCAGGCCCGCCGGGACAAGCCACGACAGGAGTCCCAGGACTAGTACCCACCCCAACTCCAGCACCCCGAGAGGCAATGAACGGCTACGGCAGCGGCGACTACAACGACGGCGGCTGCGACAGACGGGGCGACGGCGGCTGCAGAGGTGGCGGAGGAGGAGACACCGGAGAAGGGGCGGGTGGCAAGGACTGCGCCGCAGGACCACCAGAGTCAGCAGACTCCTCAACCGGGACAACCGACGTAAGTGGGGTGACGTGGGACACACTAGAGGGGGCAGGACGGGGAGGGGGAGGAGGAGGGGCGGCGACGACCGGGGAAGGGGGGACCAGGAACAGGGGGGGGGGTAACCGAGGGACCGCGATGGGGGAAGCGATGGAAGAAGGAGACGGACTCGTCAAAGGTGACGGCGCGGGAGTGAAAGAACCGGTGAGACTGCGGGTGGTAGAAGTGCCAGTCAGACGCGTCAAGGGGGAAGCCGAGGAAGACACAGGGAAGGGTGCGGGCAGTAAGCTTGTCAGTGCCAGAGGCACAAACGTGAGCAAGGCATCCCCAGACGTGGAACGCAGACGCGTCACCAGGTGACCCAGACCAAAGAAGGGTCGGCGAAACCTAAGGCTGCTGGGGGTGCGGCCACAAGTTAAGCTGGTGAGCGGCGTAGCGAACAGCGAATGGCCACAGAAAATGGGGTGCACCGTCATGGATCATGGAGGTGCGAGCCACCTCCATGACCAAACCGGTGCATCGCTCAGCGACCCCATTCTGCTGCGGGGAGTCCGACAAGGTGAACGTCTGGGTGATGCCCTCCGTACGACAGAAACGACCAAGGACACCAGAGGCAAACTCGCCATCACGGTCAGAGTGGAGGCGCAAGACAGGGAGATCGCGGTGGACACGCGCAGCGACAAGCCACGGGATAAGAACGGCAGGCACGTCGGCCTTCCGCTCCAGGCGGAACACAGTGGTGTAGCGCATGTAGTCGTCGACAAGCAGTAGGAAGTAGCTCTCTCGACGCGGCCCATGAACGGGGGCGGGGCCCCAGACGTCCATGTGCAGAGTCTGTAGCGGTGCTGCGGTAGGGGGAAACGAGGAGGAGTGAGGGGCACGGAGGAGCCGGCCCTCGACGCAGGGCGTGCAAGGTGGGGCTGGGGAGGAGGGAAACTCAGGGAACGACCCGGGGAGGCCTAGGACGAGACCGTGTAGTGACATGTGACGCAGACGCGGGAGCGCAGGGTGACCTAGGCGGTGGTGCCGGAGAAGGGTCGGGTGGGTGAGAGACCGACAGGAGCAGGCAGCAGCAACCTGAGGAGACGCAGCCACCTGAGGGGGGGTCCCAGCCGGGGGGGGTCACAGTGTGAAAAACCGGACACCGGGTCCCGTGGGAACGTGGACAGGGGGGCACCAGTGGCGGCCTCGGTACAGACAGCGTTCCGCTCATGTCTAGTGAACGTAGTGGTGACCCCAAGGTCCTGAAGGCAGCCGACACCAACTAGGTTCCTGAAGAACGAGGGGATGTGCAGTCCTGTGAGCGAGCCCGAAGGAACCGCCGGACAGGGGAGGGTGGTGGAACTGCACGCAACTACAGGGCCGGAGGAGGGGTCAGCAAGAGAGACTGCGGCAGGGACAGGGAGCGGTGTCAACTTGGTAGAGTCGTGGAAGAAGCACCGAGAAGCGCCAGAGTCGAGGGTGAAGGAGAGCGTGGCAGTGGCGGCTGGAGGCGAAGCAGCGATGGAAGCACCAAGGCTAAACAAAGCAGGGGATCCTATGCCTGACGCAGCAGGGGAGTCTAAGCAAGGCACGCCTACACTAGGCAACAAGGGGTAATAAGACGGAAGCACACTAGAGTCATCAGCATACATCACATGCAGAGCAGTAACAATGTCATCCATATCCAGATCAAATATCTGAACCCTACGACGAAGCAAGCTCTGCCTGTCTGGGAGCTCGGACGACGGGCCGAAGCGCTGACGAAACAGGTCGTCCAGGCGACGGAAACAGCGATCGGAGGTGTGGCTGATCTTACCGCAAACGAAGCCACGGCGAGGACCGGTCTGGAGCAGGTACTGACAGCGCGCGGGACCCGAACCACCACCCGGCAGCCCACCACGTGCACCACCACCACATCCAGCGCTACCACCAGCGCCAGGCCACCCGGGCGGGAGACCACTTGCCCGTCTCGGCTGCTGCTGCGACTGCTACTGCTGCTGCGACTGCTGCGGCTGCGGCGGCTGCTGCGGCTGCTGCGGCTGACGCGGGTCCGGCGGCAACACTGGCGGCTGCTGAGACGGCTGCTCGGCTGCACCTGTCAGGGTCCCCTCGTCCACACCACCACCAGGGGACTTAGCTCCCGCACCATCTACACCTACACCCCCACCCCCGCCGCCACGCCCCGCCTTGGGGCGGCGACCCTTCCCCGGACGGACCTGTGCTACAGCAGCAGTCTCAGCCACAGCAGCAGAGCCGTCGGAGAAGGTGCACTGAGCGGGGGCACAACCCTGAAAGATAGGGACCGGCACAGTACCGCTGGTCTGGGCGATAGAGCGGTGGCGGGCCTCTATAACGGACAGGGTGTCAACAAAGTCAGTGAGGGTGAGGTCTCCAGGGTGGACGCTAAGGAGGCGGTCGCGGGCAGTGGCAAGGCGGTCAGAAAGGCGGGTGGCCAGCAGGTAGAGAGTAGAGCAGAGGGGCGGCTGGTGAGCGCGTAGCTGTGTGTCAGTGCAGGCAGCGCGCCAGGTCTCGTCTATAGTGCGCAGGTGGGCGGCCAGGTCAGCGACAGTGGGGAACGACGCAAGGTCAGGGAAGAGCATGGGGAGGATCAGGCGACCTACCAAGGCAGCAGGCGCGGTGGAATAGCGCTGGACAACAGCATCTAGGAAAGCCTGGGCAGTGGTGATAGACCTGAAGCGAGGTCGCTCGGACAGGGAGAGGCATTACTAATAGCAAGCTATGCGACATCGTCACGGGACAGCCAGACAGAGCGAGCAAGGGCAGCGGCCGCAGCGGACTCACGCTCAGTGGACGAGGGGTCAGGAGACAGTGCAGCGGGGGGGTCAGGGCAGGGGAGGGTACCGTCAAGATGGACAGACAGAGAGTGGCCATCCTGCCGCTGACCAGTGAGGTGGCGACGAAGGTCAGCAAGCCACGCATCAAACTCAATCGGCTGCCCTTAGCGTCAAAGCGAAGCACCTCCGCCATCAGTGACAATAGAGGGCAGTACGGTGCGGTGCAGTACAGCACGGGTAGTGCAGTGCGGTGCAAGACGGTGCAGTGCGGTACAGTGCGGTGCAGTGCGGTGCAGTGCGGTACAGTGCGGTACAGTGCGGTGTAGTGCGGTGCAGTGCAATGTAGTGCGGTATAGTGCGGTGCAGTGCGGTTGAGTACGGTACCGGGGGGGGGGGGGGGTTCGCAGCGCAGTGCTGATCGGGAAGAACGGGCCGAACCCGAGCGGCGGCGGGCTGGCGACGACGCAAATGCAGGAGCCGGCCGGCGGACGGCAGATGCGAGGGGCCAGCAAACGGCGGCAACAGGGGCCGGCGAGGAGCCGACGCGACGGCGAGTAGGGCCGGCCACGACGGCGAGGAGACACGGCCGCGACAGCGGCCAGGGACAGCCGCGACGGCGGCTAGGGGCGGCCGCGACGGCAGGAGTGACCATGAGGCGGCTGGAGACGGCAGCGACAGCGGCTAGGGGCGGCCGTGACGGCGAGGGGGTGGCCGTGAGACGGCTAGGGGCAGCCGTGGGACGGCAGGAAACGGGCGCGGCGGCCAGGGGGGGGGGGGGGGGCTAGGGACGAGCGCAACGGCCAGGAGGCCGGCTGAGGACGGGCGCGACGGCCAAGGGGCCGGCTAGAGGCAGACGCGACGGCCAGGGGGCCGGCTAGGGTCGGGCGCGACGGCCAGGGGGCCGGCTAGGGGCGGGCGCGACGGCCAGGGGGCCGGCTAGGGGCGGACGCGACGGCCAGGGGGCCGGCTAGGGGCGGACGCGACGGCTAGGGGGCCGACTAGGGGCGGACGCGACGGCCAGAGGGCCGGCTAGGGACGAGCGCGACGGCCAGAGGGCTGGCTAGGGATGAGCGCGACGGCCAGGGGGGCGGCTAGGGACGAGCGCGACCGCCAGGGGGGCGGCTAGGGACGAGCGCGACGGCCAGGGGGCCGGCTAGGGACGAGCGCGACGGCCAGGGGGCTGGCTAGGGACGAGCGCGACGGCCAGGGGGCTGGCTAGAGACGGGCGCGACGGCCAGGGGGCCTGCTAGGGGCGGACGCGACGGCCAGGGGGCCGGCTAGGGGCGGACGCGACGGCCAGGGGGCCTGCTAGGGGCGGATGCGACGGCCAGGGGGCCAGCTAGGGACGAGCGCGACGGCCAGGAGGGCCGGCTAGGAGCGGGGCACGACGGTGGCTAGGGCCTAGGGGGCGGAAGCGTGGGCGGGCTAGGGTAACCTACTATGATACCATATCAGAAAGAATAATGATTAGAGTGGGGAGATACAAGGCAATATAGTATAGAGAGTTTGTACCCACTAAGGCACAAACATATATATTCTACAGTAACTGCATAAGTTATGTTTGACACTAGGGACCTTAATTAAGCTGCATGCACCAAGCAAAAAATAGAAGTTGAAATAAGGGAAATATCATGCAGTCCAAAAAACCAGCGAGGCATGGAGCAAATCAACAACGCTCAAAAGGGTGGACCCTGCAGCCAAACCACAGAAACTAAAGAAACAAAAGGGAGAAAACAAGTTAGTAAGAAGCCGTAGAAATAAAAACAATGAGCGTGAACTGGGAAAATTTGTCAATGCAACGTAGAGAACTAGTTCGCACAAGTAATGCCTAGCAACAGGTGAAGCATAACGCCAACTAGGAGAGGGAGAGAAGATAGAAATTAATGAAAATAAAAGAAAAGAAGTTGATGGATAAGAGAGAACAGAAAAAACGGTGGTGAGGGAAGGGTGCAACGAAAGAGAGAGCGAAATAGAGAGAGAGAGAGAGAGAGAGAGAGAGAGAGAGAGAGAGAGAGAGAGAGAGAGAGAGAGAGAGAGAGAGAGAGAGAGAGAGAGAGAGAGAGAGAGAGAGAGAGAGAGAGAGCGAGAGAGAGAGAGAGAGAGAGAGAGAGAGAGAGAGAGAGAGAGAGAGAGAGAGAGAGAGAGAGAGAGAGAGAGAGGAGTAAGAGAGGGAGGGAAGGCAAGGAGGGAGAAAAGGAGGAAACAGAGGGAGAGAAGGAGGTCAAGGAGGGAGAAAACGAGGAAACAGAGGGATAAAAGGAGGGCAAGGAGGAAGAAATGGAGGAAACAGGAGGGAAGGAAGGCAAGGAGGGAGAAAAGGAGGAAACAGTAGGGAAGAGTGGAACAAGAGGGGAGGAGAGGGAGAGGTGTGACAAAATATGAGTGATAGAGAGTGGAAGTGAGGGCAATGCAAGAAAGATTACAGTTACAGAGTGTTACGTTGTCAAATGGAGAACATATGTTATGGAGAACAAAGAGACGGAAAACGCAAGCAAAATGGGATGGTCACTCACCTTTAGTAACACTTGTACTCTTCATTCTGCATCCCCTCTCTTCCTCCTCACCGCTCTGCATGCACATTCAACGTCTACGTCGCCCGAAGCCATCCACGAAGGCGCCATCGCGCATGGCGCCAACGACCACCGCGCCATGCGCGCACGGGGCCAGCGCATTACACGCCAGGCTGCAGGGCGCTAGCACGCTAGGCTCCAGTACGCATGGCACTAGGATGCCTAGAAACCAGCGCGCTATGCCCCAGCGCGCTACGCCCCAGCACGCTAGGCGCCAGCACGCTAGGCTCCAGCTCGCTAGGCTCCAGCGCGCTAGGCGCCAGCGCGCTAGGCGCCAGCGCGCTAGGCGCAAGCACGCTAGGCGCAAGCGCGCTAGGAGCCAGCACCCTAGGCGCCAGCGTGCTAGGCGTCAGCGCGTTAGGCTCCAGCGCGCTAGGCGCCAGGGCGCCTAGCAGCCACCACGCTAGGCGCCAGCACGCTAGGCACCAGCGCGCTAGGCACCAGCACCCTAGGCAATAGCGCTCTAGGCGCCAGCGCACTAGGCTCCAGCGCGCTAGGCGCCAGGGCGCCTTGCAGCCAGTGCGCTAGGTGCCAGGGCACCTAGCAGCCAGCACGCTAGGTGCCAGTGCGCTAGGCACCAACGCGCTAGGCGCCAGCGCCCTAGGCGATAGCGCGCTAGGCGCCAGCACGCTAGGAACCAGAGCGCTAGGCGCCAGCGTGCAAGGCATCAGAGCGCATGGTGCCAACATGCTGAGTGCCAGCACGAGTGTGGGCTTAGGGACGAGCAGAATAGGTGAGCAAAAAGAACTAGGAAACGATGACTAAGGAAGAGAAGCACCAAGGCACAAGCGAGCAAGAACGAAGGGGCAGTTGCAAACCCTAGCTTTCGTTCTCCTCAACCACAAAAACCTAACGCATCACAGAACAACACCATTGCTGACATGTCATAAGCCTTCAGAGTGAAAGGAATTAGTGATTCCTTACTGAGGCTTGCTACAGGGCGTACGACTCGAACAGTCCCGAACCATCGCCAGGGTTCCAGACCTATCAGTTCGAGCCTCCTGGGCCTTTCCGGACCTTGCTACAACACATCGAGGCCCTTCGACACTTTTCCCGAACCTTCCGATCCTACGTCCAGGATCACCCTAGGCTTTCTATATATTGTATTGTCTTTCATTTTATTGATTCACTCGTTCACAGTTTTGCCATTGCCCTCTGTGCTACTTGGCAGTCCCATTCATAACACAGAGCATCGAAATGTAACATGTGCAAAACACTAGAAGGAGAAACGATTCATATAATCAAAATTTGTCTCAAAATGCATTCAAGTTAGAATTCCATGAAGATTTGACGACGCTATGGCGGTTTGACTGGCAGAAGGTACAGCAGCCACTATAGTCTTAGGAGTACAAAAAACTTAGGAAGAAGAATTCGAGAGGGAGATGGTTCCCAGCCTCTACATTCCCCAAGAGCTGAGGTCCTGGTTGGTGGTACACCACCACAGAGTCCCCAACCACGAAGAGTCTCGAAACCAACCCTCCAAGGGGCTACATCAAGTGAAATGTAACACTACACGAAGTAGCGTTACTATTTTAACTATTTAATATTTATCCGCGTCCCTTGGGCTTGAAATCTTGAGCTCTTGGTCTTGGATCTGCAAGATAAATTCTTCTTGAGTTGATGGGGGCTAGCTGCACACACCTGCGACACGATGGACACTTCACACTCGACAAAATAGAAAAAACACATGCAAAACACAAACGACGACTTGACATGCGATTTGTAAAAACTCGCTAATGTCTTGACCGACACAAACCACATTGTGATACACCATTCAAACACACACACAAGCACTGGATAGCAATGACATAGACTCACAATTCATTCCATGCCATGCATGCACACACACAAACAAGGACGACAAGCCGAGTGCAAGCCATAGGGTTGCACCAACAGGAACTAGAGTCTACGTGGCGCAGCTGCCCTGCGTTATAGGGTCGCGCTGAGACTGGTCCCGACGAGCAGGATTTGAAGATACGTTCTAGTTTTCTGGGTCTGAAGAAACTTGAAGCAGGGTATTTTCGGCATCGACGACATAAGATTTTCTTTTCATGGAGGGGGAGAGAGCAGTTGTTTTTGGGTTTTCCCTCGACAGTTTGACATCCGCTGCATGAGCATCAACGGATAGATGCTGTTTGACCGACTGAATCGACGGACAGATTCGAGTTGGCTTTTCGGGAATTTCGCTGGTGTTCGCAAAAGTTGAAGGCGTGTTTAGTTGAACTGCCCAAGGCGACATCGCCTACGGTTATAGGACTGGTTGAGCTTTCGTCCTTAAGCTGATGGACTTCGCTGACTTTCATGAGACACGGACGCGTGTTCTCGCATGTGTCGCGAGTGGCCTCGCATTTACGAAAAACTAGAGTTCGTTGATTTTGCGAAATACAGACGCGTGTTTGTGCGAGTGTCACGACTCACGTGGAATTAAACGAGGAGCGATCTACAGTTACGAAGCTACGGACAAGTTTGGCGCATGAATAACGTGGTGTTACTGTGCGGATACAGTACACGACGATTGGAGTTGTAATTGTCGGCAAAGGACTCGCTGGAGACAAGGAAGCTGTGGTGCGGTAGCATCCCTACTGCCCGTTTGGTTATCTGGGTAATTCGACCCTACTTCGATGGCTACGACCGACGGACGATCGTTTCGACGCGTTTTGACCGTTGGAAGGAGTTTCCTTTAAGAAGCTCGAGATTCTCAACAGTGGTGGCTTCACTACTACGAGATTCAGTTAGAGTGTGTGTATTTTTGTTTATTTGTATGCTTATCTAGAAGGGGGGAGAGTGTAAGGAATTAGTGATTCCTTACTGAGGCTTGCTACAGGGCGTACGACTCGAACAGTCCCGAACCATCGCCAGGGTTCCAGACCTATCAGTTCGAGCCTCCTGGGCCTTTCCAGACCTCGCTACGACACATCAAGGCCCTTCGACACTTTTCCCGAACCTTCCGATCCTACGTCCAGGATCAACCTAGGCTTTCTATATATTGTATTGTCTTTCATTTTATTGATTCACTCGTTCACAGTTTCGCCATTGCCCTCTGTGCTACTTGGCAGTCCCATTCATAACACAGAGCATCGAAATGTAACATGTGCAAAACACTAGAAGGAGAAACGATTCATATAATCAAAATTTGTCTCAAAATGCATTCAAGTTAGAATTCGTCAAATTGGTTTCTTCTGTCAGCTTATACATACATTTGCATGTAGAAGTTATAGACTAGAATAGGTGTGTGTTCAAAGAGAGTACAACCCAAACCCTATACCTCCCTTGTTCTCTCTTCTTTCTAAACATTCTAGTATTTTAACATGGTATCATGAGTAGGTTAGGTCCACCACTCATAAAGTCACCAGTCCTAACCACTTGGACAAGAAGGGATGTCATCAGGAGGGTTAGGCTCCATATATCCACCTTCCCCGGGGAAAGCCTCCCCAGTACCCTCCCTAGAGATAGAGAGAGGATCGACAGGGTTATCCCAGTGCCACGACATACCCCTCCGCTGGGATCGCGTGTACACCAGGAATTGAACCCCGGATGGCTCTGATTCCAATTCATAAAGACACCAGTCCTAACCATTGGGACATGAAGGGATGTCATCAGGAGGGTTAGGCACCATATATCCACCTTCCCTGGGGAAAGGCTCCCCAGTACCCTCCCTAGAGATAGAGAGAGGATCGACAGGGTTATCCCAGTGCCACGACACCACCCACCCGCTTCCGCCCCGCTCCCTAGCCTACCGCGCCTCGCCGACCCCTAGCGCGCCCGCCCCCCCCCCCCCCCCCCCCCCCCCCCCCCCCCCAGCACGCCTGCTGTCCCCTACGCAACGTGCCGCCCCCTCGCGCCCAGCCAGTCCCTCTCGCGCCTAGTCGGCCCCTCACGCCTAGCCGACCCCTTTGCGCCTAGCCGGCCCCCCCTCGCGCCATAGCCGGCCCCTCGCGACGTAGCCGGCCCCTCGCGCCTAGCCGACCCCTTCGCGCCCAGCCGGCCCCTCTCGCACCATAGACGGCCCCTTGCGCCTAGCCGGCCCCTTCGCGCCCAGCCGACCCCCTCTCGCGCCGTAGCTGGCCCCTCGCGCCGTAGCCGGCCCCACGCGCCGTAGCTGGCCCCATGCGCCGTAGTCGGCCCCTCGCGCCTAGCCGGCCCCTCGCGCTTAGCCGGCCCCTCTCGCGCCATAGCTGGCCCCTCGCGCCTAGACGGCCCCTCTTGCGCCGTAGCCGGCCCCTCGCGCCCAGCCGGCCCCTTCATGCCCAGCCGACCCCTCGCGCCCAGCCGGCCCCTCGCTCCTAGCCGGCCCCTCGCAGCTAGCCGGCCCCTCTCGCCTAGCCGGCCCCTCTCGCCCAGCCGGCCTCTTGCACCTAGCCCGCCCCTACCGCCTAGCCGGCCCCTCCTGTGCACTGCCGGCCCCACGCGCCTTGCCGGCTCCTCTCTACGCGCCGGCCCTTCCCGCACCTGCCCAGCCTCTCACACGGTTGGCCGGCCCCTCGTGTGCCTCGGCCCCTTGCACGTCCGCTGGCTCCTCACGCGCCCACCGGCCCACTTGCGCCCTCCTCGGCCTTCCGTCCGGTCTCCGTTCCGGAGAGTCCTGCCACCACGTTGCTGTCTCGCTGTGCGGCTGAGTACCTGTGTCCCTGTGCCACTGTGCCGCTGTGTCCCGGTGCCGCTGAGGTTGCGCGATGGCGGACGCCATTCTATGTCTGGACGCGGAGGGGCACGCGATCGACTTCGCCGCCTGGCTTGTCGATCTTCGCCGGCACCTGACAGGTCAGCGCCAAGATGGGCACTCCC